CCTTGTTCATTATGCTTTCATATGCTCCAGTTTCATAAAGGCCGGTTCTTCTATGAGCACAGACAATTTACTGAGTGATTTATTGTTGAGTGTGACAATCGCATATGACAGAGGTCAAAATATCCCGTCCAAAAACCAAATATGCACTCAGATGTCCACAATGCAAGTCTCTTGTCTCTGAAACAAGGAGGATCCAAACTAAGGAGTCACAAGGGACAAAAATACACACAGTCCAACTAATTGTACTATACTTTAGAAGAGGAGATTGAGAGGGAACCCTGTGTCTGACCTTTCTGGGAAGATTCTGGAGAATTAAATGAAAGTTTATCAGGTGCTGACTGGAGTTTATGACTCAACTGAGAGTTTTCTGGAGATAAGAGGAAACACTGCATCTAAGTATGATAATACAGTTTAACTAAATTCACCAGTTTTAGCCACTGTTCTTTGGTTAAAGGAATAGTTCACCCAAAAATGAAAAGAAATGTATCTTTAAACTTTAAACCATTGCTTCTGGCCAAAATACAACTCAATTTTCCATAACAATGCTTCCTCCAGTGAAAAAGTCCATCCGCTGTTGTCCAGTCACATCAAAATCCACCAACATATTTTTAGAACAGTTTTGGACTGTGCTTGATCTGTGCATATTTCTCTCCTGGTTCATACAAGACAACTTTTCACTGGAGAAAGCAATGTTATTGACAGAAGAAAGGAGAATTTTAGTAGCAAGCAACAGTATAAAGTTAAAACTTCTTTATGGATTTGTTTCTCACAAACACACAGCTTTTCACGTCACAAGATGTGAAGTGATGGACTGGAGTGGATTACTTGTGGATTATTGTGATGTTTTAATCAGCTGTTTGGACTCTCCTTTTGACGGCACCCATTCACTGCAGAGGATCCATTGGTGAGCAAGTGACGTAATGCTAAATTTCTCCAAATCAGAGAAATTTGGATGAAGAAACAAACTCACCTACATCTTAGATGGCTTAATGCGAGTACATTTTCAGCTAATTTAACTGTTTCATTATGCAAAGCAACTCTTTAAGTTGTGGGAGCATAAATAAAAAGTGTTTAGTTAATGTGTGTTTTTTACACATATATTTTTAGCATTGAGACGCTCTAAAAATGCTCACATGAGATAAAATAGGGAACAAAAACAGCATTTGCACATAATCTAGTCAACATCATCTGGGGCAAAGATCTTAAAAGGCAAACACAAGGCCTGCTTATGTTTGCCAGGTATGTGACTTGTGACATGACATTTGACAAATTTTGTCATCACAAAACTATCAACACATTTACAATATCTGTATGTCCTACTGAAAAAAAAAAAAGATTTGGCAAATTTTCATATTAATAATGTTCATGTTATCTAAAACACTATTCTTGGAAAGCCATGTTGAATGACAATTTATGTGAATGATGAAAGTTTAATACTAAGACGTTCTGTCATTTCACAAAGACAATATGAGTAAAGTGAATAATCGTTTTCTTTTGGGAATACATTCATATGATCACTTTACATTTGTGGAAAAGAAACAGACACCTATATAGTCTATAGGCATTCTAGTATAACCTACACCAGTGGTTCCCAATCCTGGTCCTGGAGAACCCCCAACACTGCACATTTTAGATGTCTCCCTATTCAAACACACCTGATTCAACTCATCAGCTCATTAGTGAAGACTCCAAGACAGGGGTGCCCAAACTCGGTCCTGGAGGGCCGGTGTCCTGCAGAGTTTAGCTCCAACCCTAATTAATCAAGCTAATCAAGCTCTTATAGGCATACTAGAAACTTCCCAGCAGGTGTGTCGAGGCAAGTTGGAGCTAAACTCTGCAGGACACCGGCCCTCCAGGACCGAGTTTGGGCACCCCTGCTCCAAGACCTCAAATGTGAGTGTCAGATAAGAGAGACACCAAAAACGTGCAGTGTTGGGGGTTCTCCAGGACCAGGATTGGGAACCACAGACCTACACTATCTAAAACTGAAGAAATGTTTTAGCACAAACACAAGCAATATGTTAAATGCCAGACCTGTTGTTTCAAAATAATGTTGCAATCCATTTCTATTCATTGTGTATGTGTCTGTGTGATGGTCTGCAGGAAATCCTCACCAAAAGGCAAGTTGCAACAGTGCAGAAATAAAATGAAAGTAGAAGTTGACAGAACCTCAAGATTTTACCCATGAATAAACACAATGCCTTGGCTCGCGCTGTTTTACTTTGTTTAATAGTGTTGTATTCTTATTAACAACCCTTATTCTCCTTTCAATAAAGATTTTCTGAAATTAAAAAAAAAGTGTAAAAGCCAACCATTCTTTTCAATAATATTAAGAAAACAAATGTTATTTTTAGATAATTTACCTGCCGAACTTCGTCCTCCTAAAATCCATACTGTACATATTTGCACATGTTCGCTGCGGAACTTGCTCCTGGGTAGACAGCCTGACTTCTCCCAGTGCCAGCGACGAGCAAACTCCGGATGTTTCAGTGCGTCCCAAACTTGGAAGGAAGCAGTACTGCCTCTGCGAGCACGTGAAGACTTGCGCTGCTCAGTACGCACACGGGAGCAGAACTGCGAGAAGCGGCCGCGAGACAGTGACAGCGGATTTTTGGAATAATCATAAAGCGTCTCGCGACCCCTCTTTCTGTCAGGAATGCCGCTGTGCTGTGCGTGCGTGCGCTCAATCCCCTCCCCGCCCCTTTGCTTTCTTCCAAGTAAACTTGGAAAAGGCTCGCGGCAAACGAACTGCATCTCGTTTGTCCATTGCTCGTCATGTAGCGGAGATTTGCTTTAGAAATGCTTGTTTAGAAAGACGTAAACAAACTAACCTCTCTAAGATCTGACTGTTAGACTACATGCACGCTATTTTGTGAAGACCTCATTTTTACTTAAATAATAAATAAATAAACACAAGGCAATATATATATATATGGTAACACTTTACAATAAGGTTCATTAGTTAAACATTAGTTAATGTATAAACTAACATGAACTAACCATGAGCAATACATTTGTTACTGTATTTACTAATCTTCACTAACGTTAGTTAATAAAAATACAGATGTTCATTGTTAGTTCATGTTAGTTCACAGTGCATTAACTAATGTTAACAAGATTTTAATAATGTGTTAGTAAATGTTGAAATTAACATTAACAAAGATTAATAAACGCTGTATACGTGCAGTTCATTATTAGTTCATGTTAACTAATGTAGTTAACTAATGAACCTTATTGTAAAGTGTTACCATATATATATACCTATATAAAATTCTGATGATGAGTTAAATTAGATTAGATCCTTTTTTAACATATAACTCTGTTATAAAACTGGTCATTGTTTATATGACTCTGAAGGCCAACATTACAATGGTCAGGTATCAAATCTAACCATTTCTGACCAGGTCAGCACATTTTCTCTGTGACCCAAAGTAGGGTTTGTACTGAGCGTAAACTAGTTAACACTAGAATTGTGATATCTCAGAGACATGGCGCACGAAGCCCTCTGCTGGTTAAATAAATTCATAATATTTCAATCTGCGTCTCATCCATCGTGATTGCAGAGATGGCTTCCATACTCCATTCTGGTATAGTGGTTCTCAACCAGAGTTGCCTCAAGATTACTTCAAATATTTTAAAGATAGAACAAGCTTTAAGATAAGATAAAACGGTAACACTTTACAATAAGGTTCATTAGTTAACTACATTAGTTAACATGAACTAATAATGAACTGCACGTATACAGCGTTTATTAATCTTTGTTAATGTTCATTTCAACATTTACTAATACATTATTAAAATCTTGTTAACATTAGTTAATGCACTGTGAACTAACATGAACATCTGTATTTGTATTAACTAACGTTAGCGTAGATTAGTAAATACAGTAACAAATGTATTGCTCATGGTTAGTTCATGTTAGTTACTATATTAACTAATGTTTAGCTAATGAACCTTATTGTAAAGTGTTACCGATAAAACAGCTACAAATCCAGATATTTATTGATTAGTAAGTTTTTGAAATGGAACAGTTTTGAACCTTTAGACAAAAGAAAATCTAAATTATTATTGCATATCTCGCAACTGTGTTTATGTTTTTATCACATTTGATATCAGGCTTTTATGGCCTATATTGTATGATGTTGTGAAAATATGGAGCTCAGACCTGAGCATAAACATAAATTATATTTAGAGGCCCAAACTGAGCAAAAAGTATGCAGTTTGGTGCAGATGTTGTTATGGCCAAAAGTAAGGAGAAATTGTAATAGCTTATAATGTAAATCAGTTAGATTTTATAGTCCTAACGGTAGCAGTAAGCAGACTACTTATGTAAAATGCATATAAATGTCAGTTGTCAGCCAAAAATATGGCTTTGTAAGATGATATTTAAATGCTTAGTTTTATTATCAAAACTCTGTAGTTTTTATTATGGTGACAAAACTGTGTTCCTCAGAAGTTGTATCATATTTGATACTCGCATATTAACATGAGTTTTATAAAAAACTAAAAAACGATGTATGCATAATCAAGTAGGCTAAATCTGGTTGCTTCAGACCAGTAAGTGTTCATCTTGAAATATTAATAAGAATTTAAAAGTTATTCTTACATTTACTTACAATTACTCACAGCAAACAGACACATGTAACACGACCTTAAAGTTGGCATTTTTAGAATGACACTAAAATAGCTTTTATTAGTAAAAAAGAAAAAGAAAAAGTGAACTATCAATCAGAGGGCAGAAGGTATGTAGAAGATTGTGTACAACAGCAAAGTTTTGATCATGTGTACAGTGCTGTGGACAGCCTTGGAGTCAAAAAGATTGAGAACCACTATGAAAGCTAGTATCTTGTATATTCTCAATTAGGGAATTCATTAGGAAGCTTCTAAAATGAATTGCGATAAATTGTGTAAACTTCTGCAAAGCATTTGAAAACATCCCCGCTTTAGTGAGAAATAGAGCACCTTTCGCTTTAATTAGAATGGAGCCTGTGCAGCAGCCGCTGCGCATGCGCACGAAGAAGGTGCAACAGTGGCTGGAGGAAAACAACAACATTCATTGGAGCAAGGGTGGAATTTATGGCAGTGCGAGACGATACACTGATCTAACCCACATCTGAGCCCTCTTCACTTCGGCTTAATCTGTAAATGGTGTCGAGCCCATGAACCTGGCCAGTCAGAGCGGAGAGGCCGGCTGCAGCCAGCTGCTCTTCGCCAACTTTAATCAGGATAACACGTAAGAAAAGAACCACGCTAACGTTACCGCTGCTGGCCTAACAGCCCATATACTCGACAACAGCACAATGCTGTCAGTATAATCAACGAGTAATTTGCACTGCAGTCGTGCGAAGCTTCGTTCGTTATCACTGAAGCGTTTTCGCTGTGTCGTCGCTCGAGTGCAGTGCGGACAGGATGATAAAGCGTGCTAACCAGCTAAAACACTCCCTGTTGTTATGCTTTTCTGACTTTTAAGTCGGTCCTTCTTAAGACAGTTACACACGATGTGTTAATGCAGCTTTGTTTGATTTAAATCAGCACTCAATTTTGTTCTGTCAAGTAATGTCAGATAAATTCACTCATGAGACTTGTAGCACTAGCGCCCGTGCTAACGAGAAAATTACACATTTGCTCTTCTGCATAGCTTTATGTCAGACTAACTGTGTGAAATATTAAATACGGGATGTAAATTAACGTTTGGTTATATATATATTATTTAGCAAGTGTTAAATAAAGCTGTTATCCGTGTTTAATAAAGTAGGAAAAAAGTAGCTCAAATGTTAGCAACACCAGAGTAACCTATGACTTGAAACTGTGCTTTGAATTTGTTTGTTTTTTGGGGCTGTCTGATAGTTTCAATGCAATTTTATGTTTTTAAAAAGCCGTTTGTTTATCTTTCCAAATCTAGTAACCAAGGAACCAACTGTAAAGTTAACCAAAGCTCAAATCATTGACTTCACTGTTGTAACCGCTGGCTCACCTCACAGACAATACTGCCAGTGTTTTTAGAACTAGTAACAGCTGCTACATTTCAGCACTATAGAAAGTAAACTGCTCTAAAATAGCTTACTGTCTCCTGACTTTTGTATCTTGAAGTTCAAGCATGTCACATTACATGACAAGGATTGCAAATTAGCCCTTTAACACATTTCACCATCAGGTCAAAAACCTGTTTTAGTCATTAAGCAAACCAGTAGACCATAAAGAAGTGGATTTGTGCTTTAATGACTTACTGTAGCATTTCATTATTGTTACCTCCTTGCTTTCCAGATCCCTAGCTGTGGGTACCAAATCCGGGTACAAGTTTTTCTCCTTGTCATCAGTGGACAAATTGGAACAAATTTACGAATGTAGTAAGTTATTTTTGTTTTAGTTGATGTCAGCCTTTATTCAGCTTGTGTAGTCATGCAAATCATATCTATTATGGCTGCTTATACTTTCTTTCATGATATAAGTTGATTGAAGGTCAGAGATAATCAGGGGTGTACAAGGAGTTTGAAAAGTGAGAGTCTTTGAAAATGATCTGGTTCTGGTCCTGGATGCTGATTGGCAACATTCCAATGCAAGATTCCAGCAGTGCTGAAAAATCTGTGTATCATTCGATCATTCATTTTTTGATTTAATATTGAAAGTAGAAAAATGAGAAAACGGCTCCTTTTTCGTTTTTTTTCCAAAAGCTGAAATTTTCGTTTTCCATTAATGGGTGGGAAAATGAATAAACAGCTTGAATATTCGATTTCTACATGTGGGTGGGAATTAAACGCCCCTTTCTGCTGATTGGTCAGCCGAAGATCAAACTGTGCCTTCATCAGTTCTTCTGCAGTATCACGCAGCAGAATAATAGTCCTCCACTGCTGCAGTTGTACGGATTAATAACCCATTTTATTGCAACTACATTTCATATTTTTCTCATCAAACAGACTAATGAATAGCTCGACACAACTCATACAGGGGCAGAGTCTAGACAGGTCTTTCTTCTGTGTAGACCAGCGGTTCTTAAATTGATAGAGGGTCCGCAAAATAATTTGCTATAGCCTAAAGTATTTCCAGACTGTAAAGTCGCTTTTTTTATCATGATACATAGGCCTACTGTGATTTATCAGTACTCAATATTAATTTAAACTGCTTTAAATATGACTGCTGCTTATTTCCTGTGCACTTCAATACTGGTCTGCGCTTGACTGTAGTCGCGTCTGTCTGATTATTGAGTTTATTTAACCCATCGCAATTTATTGGAACTGTGTGAACTAGAGTGACTACTCACCTTAATGTTGTTCTAAAGGTTTATTACTTAATAACACAAAAATGTCCTGCTCGCATTTGCCAATTTAATGGCAGAGAATGGTGACTTTAGTTTTTTTTTGTTTTGTTTGTTTGTTTTTTGAAGCGATGCATATCTGTCGTAAAATAATCCTATGCATCTCGTGGCGTATATTCCAAGCATTCTGAAGGTATACTGAGGGTTTGTTGAGAAACAAACTGAAATGGCAAGTTATTATATTTTATGAAAATGTTGCGTTGCAGTGC